AGATGTAGAAAAAAGGCTAGCTACATGTAGCAAAGCAGTAGCTAGAAGCTAGATGTAGAAAAAAGGCTAGCTACATGTAGCAAAGCAGTAGCTAGAAGCTAGATGTAGAAAAAAAGGCTAGCTACATGTAGCAAAGCAGTAGCTAGAAGCTAGATGTAGAAAAAAAGGCTAGCTACATGTAGCAAAGCAGTAGCTAGAAGCTAGATGTAGAAAAAAGGCTAGCTACATGTAGCAAAGCAGTAGTTAGAAGCTAGATGTAGAAAACAGGCTAGTTAAAAGTATCAGAAGTGTTTTTGATTGCCAAAATTGTAGCTAAAGACCCAAAACTCTCAAGGGATTATAGATCCTCTCTGGTCTGGGAACACCTCAGGGTCCTCCAGGAGGACCTGGAGGAGTCTCTGGGGAGAAGGAGGTCTGGGTTTCCCTCCTGAAATCGTTGCTTCCATGACCTGACAGATTAAGCTTTAGCTGCTGCTTTGAGAGTTTTAGTTTTTATTCTACAGTTTCATTATTTTAAACCGTTTTCTACTTTGTTGTTGTTGTTCGGGTCCTTTTCTCCACTCTGAGCTCTCAGTTTTTACTTGTCTGTAAGGTATCGAGCGGCTCTGCCTCCATTTGGCCCATTTTCGCAGCCTGATTCCAGCAGCTCAGCTCAGCTTTACTGAGAGCTCAGTTCAGAGGAGAGGAAGATGGATGAGGAAGCTGAGGATTTGGGTATAAAGGGAATAATGTAGTTCTGATTAAAATCCACCTCTTTGCCTCCTAACCGTCTCCTTTGTTGCAGAAATGTTGCGTCAGTAAAGAAAGACAAAATAAAGTTCAGAAAAATGTGGGATGTTTTCACAGCCTTCACTAAGACAATCTTTCTTTGTTAAAAAATAATTAAAAAATTATCTCAAGCTAAAAATATATAAAAAGGCAGAACATTAATTACATGCCAAATGTAGTAAAACACTGTTTAAAAGCAGCAAAAGCTAACTAAATGCTAAAAGTACCAAAACTAGATAAAACATAAAAGTAGTAAAATGCTAACTAAAAGTAACAAAAGTTAAAAATCTAAAAGTTGCAAAAGGTTATCAAAAAGTAGTAAAACTCTAGCAATAACCTAAAAGTAAATGGCTAGCTTAAGTAGCAAAACAGTAGCTAGCAGTTAGAAGTAGTAAAATACTAAAAGCAGCCAATTGTAGCTAGAGCCAAGCTAAAAGTAGCAAAGTTTAAAATGAAAAGTAGCACAAGGCTAGCTACAAACAACAAAAATTTGTTAAACTTTAACAGAACTGTAGCTAAAAGATAAAAGTTATGAAAACCTAGTTAAAMGTAGCAAATGGTAGTTAAAAACTAAAAGTAGCGTTAAGTTAGCTTGAAGCGAAAAGTAGGATAAAAATCTAATTAAAAGTAGCAAAACAATAGCTAGCAGCAGCTATAAGTGGTAAAATAAAATGGACTAAAAGCAACTAAAGGGTAGCAAAAAGATTGATTGAAAAAGTAGCTACAACCTTGTTAAAAATAKCTAARTTAAAAACTAAAAGTAGCAAAAGGCTAGCCAAAAGTAGTGGAAGAGTTGTGTAAAGTTTAAACTAACCATTGTAGCTAAAACAAGTGRAAATCTAGTTTAAAAGTAGCAAAATTGGAGCTGAAAACTAAAACTAGCAAAAACCAKAAAAGGCTGGCTGAATGTAACACAACAGTAGCTAGCAGCTACGGGTAATAAAAGGCTAGCTAATACTGGAAAAACTAACTGGCAAAAGGTTAGTAAAAAGTAGCTAGATCTTATCTAAAATGAACCCGGTAAAGAGCTAAAGGTAGCAGAACAGTAGCTAAAAGTAACTAAAACTTAGCTAAAACTAGAAAAGSTCTAGCTAAACATAGCAAAACTTTTACATAATTGCAGCGAAAGGTTAGCAAAGTAGCTAGAGTCTGGGTAAAATAGTCAAGTTACAAGCTAAAAATAACAGAATAGTAGCTAAAAGTTTAGAACAGCAGAATAGTAGCTAAAAGTTTAGARTGTCAGCAGTAGTTAAAAGTAGCCAAATGGGAGCTGTAAAACAAAAGCACAGCGTACTTCTTTTTTGTCTTCCAGTGTGACACCTGCGCCCACGGGGGTAGTCCCAGCTCCACCCTGACCCGCAGCACCGCCTCTCCGTGCTCGGAGAGCCCCACGTCCACCCTGAGCGCCGGCGCCGGAGGACCGTCCCTACCCCAGTCCTTGCCCTTATCCTCGCCTCGCTGCGGCTCCGCCTCCAGTCCCGGGGGAACCCTCTCCAGCCCGGCCCGCAGTCCTGCACGAAGCCCCGCCCACAGTTCTGCCCGCAGTCCGGCACGCAGCCCGGGCCCATGTCCTACTTCTGGACTCACCCCKGCGAGCCCTGGACCTCCAGTTCAAAGCCCCAACTCAACCCTGGAGAGCAAAGACAGTGGGATTATAGGTGAGGTTCATCCCCGTGGTTCCATTTCATCTTATTTACTTCAGTGAAGYAAAACAAGACTCACCTGTATGTTTCCAGCACCTTTAAGGACTGATGGGAGGTCTGAGTCAAACCCAGAGCGACTCGTTGGTTCTGGTTTGTGTCTCTTCAGCCTCAAGGCTTTGGCTGCCTCCTGTCAAATCTGGGACACTGCTGTCTTTGTYACATTTGGACCCGATTCTCTCAAAATAGGACACTTTTTGCTCTTTAAATAGAACTTTTATTTATAGTTTATTACAAAAGACACATCAGTCGCCTGAAAACTCWCTGATCCCAGGGTTCATTTTACTATTCGTTAAGGAAATGTGTTTTATCATTTCAAAGCTTTTAGCTAACCTTTGCTGCTTTTAGCTTTTGAATGTAGAAATTCCCTCTGTGATCAACTACCTCCCTACCTGCCTGTTAAATCAAGCTGCCACACTTTTAGCTATCCTTTTGATACTTTTTAGTTTGTATTCTGTCGCTTTTATCAAGCTGTTTGATACTTTTACCTACACTGTAAAAAATGAAATGTTGGATTTACTTAACCATGTTATGTTACCTGGTTCCACTTAACTGAGTTGAGTAAATTCAAAGCAACACACTCATGTTCTTTGGCTAAAAAACTGGTATATTGCTTTGAATTTACTCAACTCAGTTAAGTGGAACCAGGTAACATAACATGGTTAAGTAAATCCAACATTTCATTTTTTACAGTGTACCATTTTGGTTACTTTAGCCACCACTTTGCTATGTTTAGCTAGCTTTTTGATACTTCAAGCTATCTTTGTGTTACTTTTAGCTATCATACTGGGACTTTTAAGTACATTTAGCTGGATTTTTTTGATACTTTTAGCTACCAAACTGGTAGTTTTAGCAAACCATTAAATGTTTTTAGCTTTTCTTCTTCTGCATTTAGCAAGCTGTTTGATATTTTTACCTACCATTTTGGTTACTTTAACTATCTTTAACTATATTTCAGCTACTTTTAGTTAGCCTTTAGATATAGTCTTGGATCTGTAGCTACCACTCGGCTGCTACCTATAGCTAAATTGTTGATACTTTTAGCTATCATTCTGGTATCTGTCGCTATACCGTTCTGTTGCATTTAGCTGGATTTTTTATACTTTTAGCCACCATTCTGGGACTTTTAGCTATCATTTTGTTTTGTTACTTTAGCTACCATTCTGGTAATTTTAGCAAAGTATTGCATGTTTTTGCTTTTTATTCTGCTAATTTTAGCTATTTTTCTACTGCTTTTAGCAAACATTTTGTCCCATTAAGCTTTAGTTTTTGTTTTGCTACTTTATGCTTTTAGCCTACTGCTGCTTTAAGCTAGCCTACTGTTTTTTATTTAGCCTTTAGCTAACTTCTGGCTGATTTTAGTCTTTTCATCAAAGGTAGCTTTTATTAAATTTTACCTTTTAGCTAGAGTTTATCTACTATTATGTAGCTTTTTCATATTTATAGCTTTTAGCTAGCTTTTTACTTATTTTAGCTAGGGTCCTTTGTTTATGCTTCTAGCTAGTGTTCAGCTAATTTTATTTCAAGCGACTGTTTTAGTTGTCATTCAGCTCTCAGTGTTCATTTTGCAGAAAATAAGTTTTAGGATCCTGTGAATTTTGAGAATATTTTTTACATTTCTCGGCTACTTTAACAAAAATGTTTTTTTTTTTTTTTTTGTTCTGCTCAGCGACCATCACCAGTTCCTCTGAGAACGAGGAGCGCAGCACGTCCAGCGAGGTTCTGACTAAGGACGACGGCCCGTGTGGCAGCTCCGGCCTCATGGGCCTCGCAGTCGAGGACCGCCATCCGGGGCTCGCCAGGGACAATCTGTCGGCCCAACAAGCCGAGGCTTCGCACAAAACCGAGATCATAGAGCTCCGGACTCCGCCGGCACCGAAAAGACCGCTGCCCCAGCACCATGGCCATGGGAGCTCCGCCCTCGCCATGCCCCGTCCAAATTCAGTGGCAGGTAAATTATCTCTGTACTGTAAAAGTGTCTGTTAGTAAAATATCTCCTGAACCAGTGGATGGGTTCTATTGAAGATTTCAGGAAGAAAAGTTCAACCTGATTCAAGATGGCCGCCACACATGATTGAACTTAGTAAACATAAAGAAATGGCTGCAGCTTTGTCAATTTTACAGGTTTTGAGCTGAAACCTATTGTGGTAGTAGCTGAGAGTCATCCCCRACACGTACTCTGAGCACTAACAGATCACACAAAGCAGTGGGCGACACACACTCCTTATCAGCTGCTTAAACTAAGAAATCTGATGAGAAACCAGGGAAATACTGGAAATAATGAAAGTAGCTAAAGAAATGCATATCACCCGCCACCTTCTTAATGGCTATTTCAAACTAAAAGAGTTGCTGAAAGCTAGCAAAGCAGCTAAAAGCTAAAATCATCAAAACCTTTGCAAAAAATAACATAAAATTTGAGAAATTGCAGCTAAACTAACAAAACAGCCTGAAAAGCTAAACTTATTAAAACAGTAGCTAAAAGCCAAACTAAAAAAGATCGCTTAAAGCTATAGCTAGCAAAACAATAGCTAAAAGCTAAATCATCAAATCTGTATCTTAAAGTATGTAAAACATGACAAACTGTAGCAAAATTCTACAACTAACAAAACAGCATTAAAAGCTAAAATTAACAAAATGACAGCTTAAAGCTAAACTAAACAAATTGCTAAAAGTTGTAGCTAGCAATCAAACCTGTTGCTATAAYGATATTTGGCAAATCCAGAAAATCCAAAACAGGAATATTTGTTGCTAAAAGCTGAAATTAACGATAAAATGCAAAAAATTGCAAAACAGTGTCTAAAAGCAAAACGTAGTAAAAYAATAGCTAAAATCTAAAATGAGCCTAACTCTGGATCTATAGTCAAAGATTAGACAAATCTGCGTTTTTTTATTTAAATGTTTGAAACTTTGAGTAAAATCACCTGCTGTCATGACTGGTGGGAGATCATGTAACGCCTACATCAGTGTGTGTGTGTGTGTGTGTGTGTGTGTGTGTATGTCAGTCTGGTAACCTTCTAATTATGTCTTTGGGATGACTCTCAGCTACAACCTCACCAAATTTTAGCTCAGTGTCTGTGAAAATGACTGAGTTATAGCTGTTTTTGTGTTATGATGGCTGAACTGTGGCGGCCATCTTGTCCTGAGTTGACTCTTAAGTCAAACCTGTCCACTGTGACAAATTTCACCAACACACACACCCACACACACTTTGTTGCAACATACAAAGCTCAATAATTACCATGAATTTCTCCTTTATCTGCYGGTGAGCCAGTAGAAAAGATCAAAACCAGCGTGTGTCGGTTTTACGCCTTCAACCAAAGGAGCCGATATCAGCCGACAGAGCAACATACCAAAGCTCCCATTTTACCTTTGATGAATTCGGCTGATGAGAGGCTGAATGCAGCAGCTGTGACCTCGGCTCATTAATTAACAGAGCCGTTAATTTCACCTGAATAGGAAATKAAATGACTTGATTGTTTTGGKTTTTTTTTTTTTTTTCGGCTGCTATCTAACTACAGTGAAAAGTAATTTGTGGATCACCTTAAGCTGCTGCTCCACTTTCTCTAAAGCCCAGCCCCCCCGTCTACAGTTAGGATGTTTGATGGTCCACTAGGCTCGGTTCTGGTTCCTTACATGTCAGTTCTTTGTGGTGGAAGCAAAGGAAGAGGTTCCCTGAGGAGCGGGTTCACACTTAAAGCTGCCAGTTTCTTCACTCAGCTGCAGCTTTTATTCAGACTCTGAGGATTCGTTTCAGAATAAAGTCRAGAGAAACWGTGTTTTCTGTTWAAAAAAAAGCACAGCATATGAGCCKAAGAGCTGCTGAAATTTATCAGACAATGAACTTTTAACAAGACTGTTAGAGTTACAWTAAGAATGGAAGCTAAAATCAGCAAAAATTACAAATTAAAACTAGTAAATATCCTGATGCATCTCAGTAATCCAGGTAGAAAAAATCAAAAAGAAATAAATCAGTAGGTCCTCTGGATG